GAATGTGACGCATGATGCTCAGCTTTAAGGAATACTTGTCAGGTTTGTTCAAGTTTAAGTCTTTCTTAGTTCTTCCACTACATGGAAACAAAACAACAAAACAACAAAATGTCAAGTTTTTCAAGGAGCCAATGTATTTTTCACAAAGGCTACATGTGAATCAAAACTTAATAACAGTCCTGAATATGATTTCCTCATTTTCAATACAATGATGACAGAGGAACTTATTTGTCGAAAATTACTGTGCGCAAACCTCACCTTCTTCCTTTCTCGGCTCTCTCTTTGCTTTGGCTTCGACTGCGGGAACGACTTTTACTATGAGACTTAGAGCGAGACCTTGACTTTTTGTCCTCATTTGATCGTGAACGTCTCCTGAAAATTAATGTACAGATACAATATTAGAGGAGGCTAAATGTACATGATTTTTGTGGGTAGGTGCCATGATGTTCAGGAAGCCAAATAACATTCTGGAAAAGCAAACAGGTATCCATGGCAACAATGCTAGAAGCAACACCTTATCCTTGATCTACTTGTAGAATACACGTACTTAGTGAACCTGTTGATCTGGAGTAACACACTAATTTTTTCTTCAAGAATGCAACCCTAAAAGGTTTTCACCAATGATCTTGAAAACGGAATGATAACAGACCTGTGAGACCATACCAGTACTTACGGTCACTCAGCAGTACATGCCATATGCCTAGAGATATGTAACAGATGATCCACTCTTGGTCTTGATTCAGAAATGATGTGATACATATTCAGGTTGTTTTATATTCAGGGTTGTTTTTTAAGGTGGTTCAATCAGTCTTTTAAGTGACGACTTCAGCCTCCTACAGCAATTTTTTCTAAAATGCCCTCATAGAGTTTTTAAACCTTTTTTAAAAAACCTTTTCCCATCTATGAAGAAGGAAGATATAAAACTTTGATGATCATCTTCCTTTCATTCACCAGTAATGATTGATTTTTATAATATTACACTAAACTGTTTCTGGTACTCATGGCTCACAAATCAGATTGAGCCACTTTAACAAACTAAATAAATACAGTACTTTGCAGTTCATCTGACCTTGGTGATGGGCTTCTGCTTCCACTTCTTTGTCGTTTGGGTGAACGTGAGCGGGACCTGTAAACATCAAAATATTCTTGGTTAAACCTTTTGCTGGTGTAAAAAAAAAAAAAAAAAAAAACAAAAACATCCAGCTGCCAGAAAAACCATTTTGAGTATTATAAATGTATGGGTGATGTTTTGCTGAAGTGTACTTACATGTACATATATCCCTTTTGTAAAAAAAGTTGGTAGTTAAGTTGGAAGGTCACTATTTTTATTTCTCATTTAATCTTACTTCAACTCTTGGGTCAGTATCCACATACGATAATGTTATTTCAACAGAGAGTTTCTTTCATATTAACTTAATGATACTTACAGTAAACAGTTTTGTAATTTGAGCGAAGCAGCAGCTTTTTGTTATAATTTATTCACGAAAATTTAACATGTTCTTTTATGAGTATTGCAACATTAGATGATTTATTTATGTCAAAGACATATCAAATGTTACTGATTTTTTTAACTTACTACAACAGTTATCAAGGATTAGTGTTACATTGAAACAACATTTTGCTGTATAATGCATAGTTATTAGATTCAAGTTTAATCCATCTAAATCAATAATTATTACAGTATTAATCACCAAAATTAATAAATCCCACACTTATTTAGACAATGTTTAATTTACAGAAAAGGGGGTGGAAGATGCTTCTTGTATTCCAGTGACACAAACAAGTTAACAAAACACCTACACCATTGAAAGGACATGTACAATTTAAAAGCGTTTATATGTACATGGGTATAGAGAATAACAGCCATGCCAAACTTTTCTGTTTTTACCATGCCTTGAGTTTTACAATTACTTCTTTTTTTCAGCATAGTTAGGTTAATCTGTATCATCAAAAATCAAGGTTTTTTTTTTTTTAAATCTGCATAAGAAATACTGTCAACAGTAAACATATAAAATTGACAATGTATAATGTTCAACAAAATTGATTCATAATTTAGTTTTAACAAATCTAATTTTAATGACAATAATAGAGCTCAAAAATCGCTTCCACGGGGTATGAGACTGTAACAAATGCTCGGGGCAGACTTGTTTTTCATGGACAGCTCTTACACTGCAATAATCCATCCCATCGATATCTGCAAAGGGATATCACAGATGTACATGTATATCTGCAGTAATGTACATGTAGAGGGAAAAAAAGGAAGTAATGACTGGCCTGAATGCCCCAACACTTAGTCTATATCATTTCAGCAGGAAGAGTATACTCAGGTTATAGTTCTAGCATGAACTGAACTTGTAAGTACAATCAAGAACCTCAAAACGCAAGCCATGTGATAATTTTTCTCAGTTTATGTGCTAATAATTAGGCCATACATGTCTAAATAAAATTTCAAATGGTGGTTTTACTACTTTGCTGGTTTGCTGCTGGCGGTGAAGTCCTGAAGACAACCTGATGAGTGGTAGTAATCTTAAGGACGTTCGCACGAAAATTTGCCAGTCGATAGCTTTTTTTTTACATTTTTACTGAGTTACTTGTGTCAGAAATGCAAAAAAAACTGGGGGTCACTGACTTTGTTTTAGAGAAAAAGCATGTGGAAAATTACCTTGATTTTGAAAAATTGGTGCATGTAATTCAGCATGGTCTACAGGGGTTTCTAGTTAAAAATATCGATGGTGAGTCAATGGAGGCAAACAATGTTAGTCATATTTTATAGAAGTGGGTCTGTTGTGTAAATTGCCAACGTTTTCACAAAACTAAGCCCTTCAAGAGGCATTTGAAACTGCTGCACAGATAAACGAAGAGCTAAAAATAATGGAATTCGATGGTTCATTTTGCAAAAAATTTAAACTTCTAAATGATAGATTTTCTTCATTTTTTTGCTAAATGAAGAAAATCGCTAGAAAAATAGGGGTCACCGAAAGTCTAAGATCGTTAAATCCAGGCAAAGCTATAGTCTTTGCCATCTGCCCTATCATTGTTCATTTTATTACTTAGTGTGCGCATTGATGCATGATGTGGCGTGTGAATTGGCTTGTGCAGTCAGGATGCGCAGAAACAATTAGTGCGAACGTCCTTAAGGGATACTTTATGATCTTCATGTCAGTTGAAGTACACTGTAGCATCGAATGTGTAAATGCTTGTCTGATTGGTCTATTTTGTTCAAATGCAACTCGTTCATTGTATCTCAGATGTATTTGGTTGCATGTATGTGCTATAGTAAAGTGTTATCTCAGCTGAAAGTATGTTTTTTAGGAGGTTTCTGCATGATGATGAAGCTAAGCCAGCTCAGTGCACACATACAGGTACATGTACACAGTGTTTGCTTATTGGTTTGTTTGAAACTTCCAAGTTTGCTTGTACCATCTCCTTGAAGATGTACATGTAGTTAGATGAGTCAATTTTGTGTCCAGTTTGTCAGTTGTCTTCATGAATGATCGTTAATAGGCCCAGATAACCACACATGATAAACTAATGGTAACTGGTTACTACAATGTAAACTGATACCTTTGTTCCAACCATGAATTTAACCTACTGAAACTTAAAGCATTTTGAGAAATAAATCATAAAGGGCTTAGTTGCCTAGCATTTTTCTTTTCAGAAACTGCAATCAGACATGTATGGAAAATGCTACTGTTGAAAAGTTGGTACTTACGCACTGATACAAGTACCAGAAGTGATGCTGTGTAGTGCGCACCTAGTGATTCACTAGGGAAGTGAATTGTTTAACCGTACACGCTCGTGGGTAGAGAAGCTATAAGCATAATGCTTGTAGTCGGAGTAGATGGTTGAATGCATGTTGCTCGTGGAAGCCGCGGGGGAGAGTAGAACAGAAGCACACAGAGTGGGTAGAATCACCTCTCAAGGTGTTGGCGACGCACACACTGCTCGCCAGTTGACATGACAACTGACGCAATATTATAACTCCCTGATATATGAAACAAAACTCTTCATAATTAGTCTTTACAGTTTGTTCGCTAAGGCAAACCCACAAGGCTGAAGAAACTACCTACTCTATAACTGCACCTTTCAATAACATTTGAACTCTGCATCAAAAGCTAGCCAACAGTTGCACTTTACACTGCCACCAATTAAATGTGTCTTAACAAACATCCATGGAAACAACAACGTACTGTAGCGCTTGAAAAGGTCACACTTGTACATGTAGATTGAAGTTCGTGGATTTTTATTTTTCTCCCTTGGTTGTCATCATACCTTTGTTTGACAGCACAGTAAAATGAAATATTTGAAGTTTGCATGTTATTGAAAGGGGCAGTAATACCTATCTTGTGACAAATAACAGGGGCAAGGTTATCAACTAAAAAGACCACAAAACCTTTGGGAAATTAATTAGCATCAGTCCATATTTTTCTTCTTGAATCTTCATCTTTGCCAATTTTCACGAGCCTGACCAAACAAGTGATCTTCCTTACCACCTCATTAATTACTTCCTGAACCATTTGAGAGATACATGAACTTGTGATTCAACCAGAACATAAAAAGAAACCTTGTGATGACAATGCTCTGTTGACATCTATGAAGTGTCTATGATAAGTTCTAACTCAGGTTACAGTTTTTCATGTATGAAAAACAACTCTTAAGAGACACCACACAGATCTCAACATAGCTTAGTTATTTTTGGTCATTCCGTAGATTTCTTACTTGAATAATTTAACATCTGAACACTGTGGGGCATGAGACACTAGTCTTTCAAGAGCACTGCAAGTGGGTTGTTGTTTAGCCCCCAAGCCAGGTAAGCCCTAAACCAAAAGTTGAAAACACTGACCATTCCTAGTTCTTTAAGTGTAAATACAACAGTGAAAGGTCAGGACAAACTTGTTGAGTCCAAAACCTCAACAACAGGCCTTATCACGGTTTTCAACGCCATCTTGACAGGTAGGCAAAGCAGTCTAAAATTACAGTGTCTGTATGGGAATCCGATGGCAAATAACTTTTTCCAAAATTGAATTTTACACAATTTGTGAATCGCAACGTTATTCACCAAGTTTGAAGGATGTACATGTAGCTTGGTTAGAAGACCCTTAGTTAATTTTTCAATTTTCCATACGTTTGTCTGCATTTTTTTTTCCAGCGAACCGTGTATACCCAGCCAAATTTACAGACAAATGTATGGAAAATGAGAAAAATTAACTGTGCGTTTTCTAGCCAAGCTTTTGTGCATCCTTTAAACTTGGTGAATACAATCTTCTACCTAGCATTTTAGTACTTTACCTAGTATTTTAACATTGCGCTTCACAAATTGTGTAAAATTCAATTTTGAAAGAGTTATTTGCCATTGGATTCCCCTACAAATCCTGTAATTCTGACCGCTTTGCCTACACGTCAAGATGCCGTGGTAAGGCCTATTCGCTCTCTCGTTGATGAACGAACAGTAGTAATGCATGAGAGTTTTACTTGGAGGCTTACCAGCTGGGGGCTTACTGACTTGAGGGCTAAACAACCACACAAACCCAAGGTTTCAAGAGCCTAGATCACCTGGCAGGTTTCTAAATTTGCTGTAAACCAAAATTAACTAGAAGTATTCTTATTCTCAGATACTCTGTAGCAAACGGGAAACGGCTCAAGATGAGCTTATAAAATTTGAAAATCAGGTAGTTTCGATCGTGTTTTGCTTTCCAAAAACTAACTAACGGCAAATAACAGGTAGGAAAAACAGTTACCTTAGCGACCACACTTACGATTCAATAAATGGATGGAGAAATGTGTTAGTTTTAAAACTCACCGGGGACTGCGAGATCTTGAGCGACGCCGGCGATCTCCTCGATCACGATCACGGCTGTAATTTCCCGGTCGCCGAGTGCAAGCCCTGGCAAAATGTCCGGTCCTTCCACATTCATAGCACTTCTCTTTCAAGCTCATTCGGGAAGCTCTTCCTCCCCGATTCGGCCCACGAGCCATTTCAACGCGAACCTTCTCTCCACAGATGTATTTTCCGTCCATTTCATGGCAAGCGTCCTCCGCATCGCGTGCATCTTCAAACAGAACGAAGGCAAAGCCGGGCGGATTGCGAGCCACCCAGACATCACGAAGAGGGCCGAATCTCTCAAACTCACGCTCGAGTTCGCGCCTGGAGCCATTTTTGCCCAGGTTTCCGACGTAAACTCTCGTCATTTGGCACCGAAATGCAGGTACTTCAAACAAAATCCAAACAAAGAGTTGCAAACTACAATGAACGACGATGAACTGAAATTCAAGGTTGATGAGGAAGCCCTAACATCCCATGGAGCTCTGCGATGTGCAGGAATTCCCGGATGAACGTTTACTTAGCATCCAGGCCAAAGATGGCGGACAGACGTGGGTTCCAATAAATTTGTGTTTACTTGCACGCTTTTTCACGGTTAAATGGAGGACAAACGGATGTCTATTCTTATGAAATATGTTAGTGGAGAGATAAGCTTTGCTGAGTGGATTGAGGGTGGTGTGGGAGCAGGCGATGCAGAGCAAGATGACAACAGCATGCAAGTTGATAGAGACGAGGAGGAAGAAATGCAAGCACAAATGGTTGAGGCTAGCGATTCTCAAGTAAGCCCTGCTGCCAGCCAAGACAATAATGAATCTTCTGGTAAGTATATCGACTTGTTGACAGTGTTCACTGTATGTGAGCCGCTAGACTTCCAGGCCTAGCATTTTCAAGAAATGATATGTGCACCAATGTGGTGCACATGTAGCCCCGGAGAGGGTGTGTGGTGAGGGGAGGGGGGCGGGGGGGGGAAACTCCATTACATGGGCTTTACAGGTATGGGTAGCAGGGTCCGAAATTGCGCTTTCCTGGTCGCCACAATAATTATACAAACAATAACTTTGATTTTCAGCCAAGTCGATTAAAATAAAATTCAAAGCCGCCCACCAATTGGTCATTTTTTACCTTTCCGCTGCTTTCGAAGTATAAAACCGATTTTCCTGTTATTATAAATCTATCACAATGTTTCACAGTCACAATCAGTGCGCAGCCTCGCCGTCATGTTTCTTCAGCAGTTTCCCGTAACATACGTATTGCGGGCGCAAGAGGCTGTGCGTTCTTTGGTCATAAATATTTATCCAGGCGATGTGGTGTCCAAAGATGTTCTGAAATCTTTCCGTAATTTATTACAAAGTGGAGACGGAACATCCGCGGAGAGATTAGTT